ATAGGGCAAAGGTCATCAAAGCATATCCAGCACTATGGTTTCAGGAACTTGCATTTATTTTATTTTATTTTTTAGCTATATCATTTATTTCTATTAAAAAAATTATTTCACTTTTCCTGTAACTTGCTTACTCCACCTTTGTCAAGAACTCACCACAAAGTTCCAAATAATTTATTTATCTTCTTTTTTCAAGAATAGTAATATAATCATTGGCATAGAGTCCCAAATTTTATAAAGCCATAAGTAGGTTTGATTGTAATCTGGCCCAGACTTTCTAGTCTCCAGACAGAAATCTGTAAAGAAGTTAAGTTGCTTGTTCACTACTTGGAGAAATGGAAGTAGACTAAAGATCTCTCAATTTTTCTCACACTGGTTGAAATCACTAAGCACATATGTGTGATAGTGTGCCTCTAAACTATATATATGTGTATATATTTATTTCTAAGGTTTTTGTCATAGGGTGCAAGTGCTTATCAGAGAGAGAGAGAGACAGAAAAGGAAAGTGAGAAATCACCCCCAAGGGGGATGGTAGTGCCACAATCCCTTCTCTTCCTTCTCCCCTTGGGATTTTGGGTACACACATGATCCAGTGTGTTTTCCAAGCCTCCAGGTCTGAGGCGCAAATCATGGTCGACCAGGAGGCAGTACAATGCACCACACCACTACCTGCTGGCACCATGAATTACAAAATTTTAAGAGGAACACTCAAAATTTAATGTTTTTACTAAAGCATGCAACTAATTGAGAAATAATAAAATTGGTAAGTTCCTCTTTTTTACTATGGTTTTGTATTTTTTCAGATGAATGCTTTGTTATACCTTATCTTTCCTAGTTAAAATCAGAAATCTATAAGATAATTTTAACATAGGTTCCATGGTGTATATAATTCAAAATATTATTAGAAAGATGGAACGAAAGAGTCACTTATCATGGTTATCATATTTCAGCAATCAAAAGAACTTGACCTACCCTCTTTACTAAAAACACATAAAGAAGTTGACTGTCAATTCAGCAGCAAGTTGTAACTGGCAAGTAAAAATAAACCTTAAGTAGTATATGTGTATATAACACTGGTTTTTAGCTTAAAATTTATATAAAGTATTTTTAGAGTAAAAGAGACTTGAATTTACAGCTCTAATTTTAGTATCAAAACAAAAATCTAACATACTTATTTGATAATACGACAACTGTTTCATAAAAGTTGTGTTCAATAACTTTTCTCTAAACAATGCCAATAAGTATCAAACATATCACCATGATACTTAAAAAGCTATCAAACTCCAAACAAAGCTCGATGCACATACAGGTCACAGCGACTGGACTCACAGTCTGGAACACAATTGTACAAGCAGTAAAGCCCATTGCTAACCACTGAAAGCATTTTATTTGTATTTTTAATAATAGAGCATTTCAAAATATATTTTAGGGGCCAGCAAATGGCATGGTGGTTAAGGGTGCTGGACTCCCACATGACCGACTGTGTGGTTCAAGTACTGGACCTGGCAGCTTGCTTTCCCACTTTTTTCACTCTCTCTCTCTCACTTGCTCAAATTTAAATAAATAAATAAAGTAATAAAGTAATTCTTTAAATATATATATATATATATACACATACTTTAAAGTTTACCTATTTCTTCAATGAGAAAAACAGATAAAGAGAGGTCACCTATCAGGGTCTTCATGCCATGCTCCACTCCCAGCCTTGGCCAGCCAGGACCATGTCCCAACATGGACAGGGAGATCTCAGAGTGCAAACCTAGGACCTTCCCATGTGGCTTTCAGCATCATAAAGAATTACCACTGTACCACCAGAGCAGGTCATATTTTAAATTATTTTCATTTGGCATTTTGTCATAAAGATTCATAGTTTATGATATATAACTTTTAAAATAATCACTTTTTGTGCTATAATTATAGTTATTGTGAACAAAAATATTTAACTTGAAGCAGTTTTTGGTTCTTTCTTATTTTATACTTGTGTTAATCCTCAGATGAATATGTAAAATTAAAAGCAATTATCTTTTTCCAAATAGCAAACATCACAGCTCATCTAGGCTCACATTCATTTCACAAATTAAACCCACGTAGCATTGTTTATGCATTTAGTTCAATCTGCAAACAATGCCTCATTTAGGGTTATGTTTCAAAACAAATAAAAACTTGCCTTAGTTCCTTTTCATTTCATTATGACTTTGAAGTTTGTGCTTATATGAATCAGTCAGCTTCTGCGGCCATCTCTGCTCTGTATACCATGAGTAACTAACTAGATTAACTCCTGCTTTAACTTACTGATGGGTATGGAGCCTGCAAATTGCACCTTGGTGCCATCTTCATTCAAACACAAAGGACAATATTGTGCCTTCATGATTTTGGGTTTTGTTTTTGTTTTTTGGAGAGGCTTTTGCTATAGGGTGTATGCACTCACCAGAAAGACAGAGAGAGACAGAGAGATAGAAAGCAAAAAATCACCCCCTGGGGCAGAGGGTGGCCACGCCGTAATCCCTTCTCCTCCATTCTCCTCTCGGGATCCTGGGCACGCACGCACATGCACCCAGCATGAGTTGAAGCCACAGGGTCCGGGACTCGAACCATGGTCAGCTACATGGAAGTTCAGCGACATAGCCGTTATGCTAACTGCTGGTCCCTCTTTGGTTTTTTAAATCTGTATTTCACTTAGATCTCTTAAATCACTAAATATCAATTCTTCTATTTTAAAGTCATCAGCATTCTATTAAAGTAATGGTGATTAGCAATTTTTTCTAAGTAAAATGATAAGGGATTACTCAGCTCAGTACTTCAAAGAATTTGGTACTTTTAGGTGCCGTGGTTTGAACGCCTCTGCCCCAAAACTTAGTGTTGAAATCTAATTGTCATTGCAATAGAGGTAGAACCTTTAAGAGATGATTAACTCATGAAGGCAGAGCTGTTATTTATTAATAGAAGATAGTTCCTTATCACAAGAAGGGGCTCCTGATAAAATGATAAATTTGGTCCCCTTTCTCTGGCTCCTCTGCTATTGGCTGACTTAGCAAGAAAAGCTTTGCGAAATTCTAGTGCTATACTCATGGCCTTCCCGGTCTCAAGAACCACGAATCAAATTTCTGCTCATTTGAAACTACCCAGTCTATGATATTCTGTTATAGCAGCAGAAAATGAACTAAGACAGTAGGACTGCATGTCATTTTGAAAATGTGTGTCAGTGATATTCCTCTAGTTTTTGAAATCTCTATAGCTTAAGAAACTGAATAGACCTCTCTGCCTGCACACAAATATTCAAACCTTAATGATACTTTACATTTTTCATTAAACTCGACTATTTTGAATGTGTTGGTTTAGTTAAGGGAAAACAAAAAGACCTTTTGGCTCTAAAAATTATTATTCCTGAACATTACATGAGTGTCAAGAAATTAATCCTCCTAGCACACTTGAAGAAGCAATAACAGTACGATTTGGTTATGAGCCACTTTGGTAGGTACTGTAAAGCCCTTTAGTCTTTAAAGAGTCCTGGCATTGGGTAACTTTAATTGTTGGTTTCATATGTCAGTCTCCATCAGCACACAGCTGGATACTGATAGGTGTCACTTGGGAATAAGCATTTTGGAACACTTTGAAGTCAATTGAACTGAACATGAAAATTTTATAGTTAGTGACAGATTTCTTTTTAAGATATATTTAAGCAAAGTATCATTTAAACCAATTACATTAAAAACTATCCAGAATAAGAAACCTCAAAGGAAAATTTTTCTCAGTGGCAAAGTGTTAATCAAATAAACCAAGAAAACATTCTTTCCCAAACCCATAATTTCCATGCTTTGAGTTGCTCTTATTTGGATACAGCCCATGTTAACTCTTTCCATTTCATTTCCTAGGTTGGAAATAGTCATTTTTCGAAGTTGTAAGAAAGATAGGATACAGAGGGCAAGGGGAGATGGTATGTTAGTTGTGTATCAGGGAGCACACGGTTGGGAGTTCCATCTGTGCCTGACTGTGGCTGTCACTGGTATGTTCACTGAAAAATGTGAGCCTCCCTGGAGAATACAAGACTGATGCCTCCTCACCCTTTAAGTTGTCTAGTTTATACAGGCAGTGGAGTAGTAGTAGCTCCTTTACTCTCTGAACGGAGTAAGAGGACAAGACTATTTTCTGTCAGTCACTGAAATGCCTCATTTCTGTGCCCTACTTTAAGATTTACATAAATCAGTATTTAATTGAATAGTGATTTATAGCAGATTTTAACCCCCTTGAATCAAGATGAAAAGTACTATATTCAAGTCCATAGGTTGAAACAAGTGAACAGACTGGAGCCAGCAGAGCTGTATAATGACATCACACAGTGAATTGATACTTTGCAAAAAAGTAGCTTATACAAAAGAAGAAATAGTATATAATATTTAAATTGTTAGACTTCATCATTTTGTTCAAAGTCATTTAACCATGCTCCCAGGTTCCCCAACCCTCGTCCAACTACTATTTCAGTTTTGACTAACCTTGCATTAACAAGAGCCTAAATTGCATCATGCTTTATTCTCTCAGTTTGCTCACTCTTGGCATTTTCTCTAATACCATTAAATAGCCTCTTCTATTCTTTACTTGAATTATGGAGAAACTTTTGTTCCATATATTTTATTCGTTGAACTGCTACTGGTATACATATAGCAGGGTGACTCTGGGGATGACAACTAGGAATCAGAGGAATACTGATGACCGCTTTAGGTTTATCTCTCTATCAACTTATAGCCCAGTTAAAAAAATAAATGGATGTGTGATTCTTTTTAGAATTAGATATAATGAAGATGAGGCATACAAGTGAAAACTCTGTAAGAGTAGAGACTATAATAAACATTATCCAGCCTCAGAGTCAGAAGAGTGAGCTATATTTTAAGGAATACACTATCAGAGGGCTATGCAGCTCTTTATAATAATTGGTGATGACACTGGCAGCTTCAGCTTCAAACTCTGTGTTATATCCCTTGTATTTTCTCTTTGGTACATGGACAAAGAATTGTAATGAAGAAGCACTATGCTAAAGATCCAGAGCCCTGGTATAAGGCCCACTTCTGTCACCATTTGTTGTCACTTAACCTGCCAGTGTTCACTTTCCTGATATGCAGAAGGGGATCCAGCTCAGGAATTTATCTCAAAGGTATGTTTCAGCATTAGTATTAATTCTGCCTTCTTTTCCACCTCGATTCCACCTTTTTAAAAGTTGCTTGTTTGCCAGTTAATCAATAAGCATTGAATTGTTGCCTAATATGTACCTGGGTTGGATGCATTTCTCAGTGACCAAATAAATCTGCTTCCCAACTGAGGCCAGGTCTATAAATGGTAAGTAAATTAAACCAATAGCATAAGGACTGCTCTACTCAGATTTCTTCAGGTTTTCTGTGAAGAGTAACTGAGGGTCAGGGAGCAACTGTGTGCACAGATCTGGCTGCTAATTTAGCCTCAGAGAGGACCTCTGCTAATCCAGTTTAATTACTTTTCAGGTCCAGCTTATCATGGGTGTGTGAATATGGCTGTTGATCAGATGGTGTCCTGTAACAACTAGCAAGTGATGGGGGGGAGAGTGAGAGGTGACTCATATTGATAGACATAATTACACTTAATTAAAAAGCATTGGGTAGTTCAATGAAACCCACACAAACATGCAGTGTGTGTGCATGTGTGTGTACACAAGTACATGAGTTTTTATCAGGACTGGGATTTGCTCTAGGACTGCATAGTCACTGACAAATTGAATTTGACTTAACATAACTCATTTTCCCTCAAAGTTCTTAAAGTAACTAATTTTTTCTCAAAATTTCTCACCCATAGCTTTATGAAGGACTCTCAACACCCCCTTAATAATTCAGTCATTTGAGTTAAATAAGATTTGCCTGTTTACACCAACTTATCTTTGCACAGGTAGTCCTATAACCCTTTAAAGCTAGTGTAGTGGGACTTTTCTTTCTCCGTTGTAATAGAAAAGTGGGCTGTACTTTAAGAATGTATCATAGGCTGACCTTGTAACCTAGTGGTTAAGGAAATTGGATCCCACCAGGCCAACCTTGGTTTGAGTCTGGTCAGGGGCTTGAAAAACCAAGTGGGTGCATGTGTATGGTGTCCAGAATACAGAAAGGATGGAGATATAAGGAAGAAGGGATTGTTGCCTGAGTACACTCCATTTGGGGGTGTTTCCCCCACAACACGTTTGCCCCCTAGCAATTAAAAGAAGAGAGAAAAATGTATACAGTATCACATGTTGAAGATGTTTTGATATGAGATAGGGAAGATACAGTGCTCCAGTGGCTTGGGTAGGCTAAGTGTCCCGGTGAAGATAAATGGGAACCAGAAAGAATCAGTAGGAAATCCTACGACCCTAGGAGAAAGAAGTGAACAAAAAGGAAATAACAAAATACATATTTACTCAGTGCCAGTCCTGTTATATTTACAGTCTATTTCGTGCTTCACTTTACACCTTTGGTGTTTTTGGTAAAATGACACTTCTGATTATTTTATCTGAGTACTTTAAGCATTTGGGTTACATTTATACCAGCCGGGAACTTGTGTTATATATATATATATATATATATTTATATATATATATCTGATTTGTTTGCTTGTTCTATTTTTTTTTCCTTTGCTCTCTTAGAAACCTTGATGAACACAGGTCAACTTATTAATTTCTCTAAATCTGTTGTAGAGATGAAAAGTTACTGTTCTTAATTTTTTATTGTAGAAAACTCAAAGTACTAGAAAAGTTCCACAACTGTTACATGTTGAACTTGTATGTAGTAAAGTTGTAGTCTTGTATGCAGCAATTGTATTTTATGCTTACTCTACACACATGTGGATAATCTCCTTTAATCTTAACAACTCTAACAGGTAGATACTGCTTTCCTTTTATTATTTAGCTTGCCAGAGAGAGACAGAGATACTGAGAGAGATGAGAACATGCCACAATCCCTTCTCCTCCACCTCTTGCTCCTTTGGGTATTTAGAGCACACATACACACATGCCCTACCCTGCATGTTTCTCAAGCTGCTGGATCCAGGACTTGAACCGTATGGTTAGTCATGTGTGATCTGTCACCTTAACCACCAGGCCATAGAACTAACCGTGGATACTACTGGTGGATACTACTATTTAGTCATTTTTACAGATTAGAAAAACAAGACTTAGGGAGATCAAGTTCAGTCTACTCAGTAGGAAGCCCAGGAGAGATTCACATCCAGGTTCATGAGACTGTGAAGATAGACTATGAAGTAACTCTGGAAGATGGCTCACTATGGTAGTATATTAGCTAGCTGATACCACTAGAGAAAAGAAAACAAACAGATGAAAACCAAAACCAAAGATAATTATTTGCTGTGGAGTTTATGGGACCATGTTAAAATACATAGGCTTATAGACTTAGGGTCTGAGGTTAAATTGCAAGAGGATGAAACAAAATTCTTGCTAATCACTATTCATGCAGCACCTTTCCAAGCAATCTAATCAATAAATGAATTGAATTAAAGTGTGGTTACCAACCTAGAAATGTATAGTAGGCCTGTTACTAAGTAAGAAATATTAGAAAAATGGAAAATACATGTGACTACACTTAGTAATTCGGTGTTATTGTTATTTCCTGCATTGCCTTCCTTTAGGAGAAGCACTGGTGGGAAAATTCCTCAGGCTGATTCAGATACTGCGGGCATTCCTCTGGGTGCCTTCAGTAAGGCTGTGCTTTCGGTTACTGTGACCACTCAAGTAGGATAACATTACCATAGTGGCATCTGCGGCCCAGAGACATGACAGCTCAGGCTGGATGTTTATTCCACTCTATCCTCACTTGTTCTAGCTCTCTGCAGTTTTTTCCCCCCACTTTGGTTTTGATATTTGATGTCAACTCAGCAGAACCTTGAATTCTAACCAGATTTTTCTCAGCCCCAACTTAAATAAAAATATCATAAATGTATAACTTGGATGGTAAAATATTGGTGGCTCAAAGGGTATAGCAGAAAACTTCATAAAGCTCCTGGAAAGTGGAATTAAAGTATGAGTTTATTTTGGTGCCAAAAAAAAGGAAATTAATGCATAGCTTTTTCATTATATGCATTTACTATGAACTAGTTGAAGTCCCCACACACTGGCTGAAAGCAAGTGCTGTGTTCCTGTGTTACCTAAAAGACACTGTAGATCTGACACAGAGGTAAGTACCTAGAAGTAGAAACAACACCATACTAGGCCAGCTGGTGGCATAGTGGTTAAGGTGGCAGGATCCCACATGCCTGACTGCACAATTCGAGTGCTGACCTGGCAGCATGAAAGACACCCTGTGTATGTGTGCCCCAAATCCTGAAAGTAGAAATGGAGGAGAGGAGATTGCAGCATGGCCATCTCCCAGTGGGGGGGAAGGGGGTGTGCTTTCTCACTGTCTCCCACCTCTGCCTCTCTGTGGCGAGTGTATGCGGTCTCTAACAAATTAAGGGGGGAAAAAAAAAGAAGGAAAGAAAAGAAAAGAGAAATACCACCATAACTAGATACCTTTTCCAGGGTTTATACATCTTGCTTACCTAATCATGTGCTCCTGACTAGAACTTCTTTCTCAAATATAATTATATGTAGAAATCAGATAGAAAAAGACAAATGCAGGAAAGTACAAAAGTCTTCGATAGGCATTTCACAAAAGGAAGTTTATAGAAAACTAATAAACAGGAAAAGATGCTCAATTTCATTATCATTAGCAAACTAGCGATCGGCAAATAAAAATTTTGGTGAGACATTATATAGAGACAAAATTAATAAAAAAGAAAAGGCAGATAATACCAAGTGTTAGAAAGAATTTGGAAAAACTGGATTGCTAACACCCTGCTACAAGGAGTATATGTTGGTTAACCAGTTTGGAAGACTTGTTTTGAGTCTCCACAAAAGCTGAATATTATAGGTACCCTATGATTTGGCAATTCCACTCTAGGAACGTGTCCACCAGAAAGGCAAAGTTTTGTTCACCAAAAATAAATAAATAAATAAATAAACAACCAAAAATATGTAAAGAATATTCACAGCACTGTTCACAAAACCCTCAAACCAGAAACTACTTAAAGGCCAGTTGACCACAGAATGAAGAAATAAATTGTAGCATATTCACACAATGGAATACTACAAACACAACAATGAGAATGATTCACAAGCACGTACAAAAGTATAGAGCAATCTCATAGCATAATATTAAAGTGAAGGAAGCCAGACATATTATAAAAGGAGACATATTAACAGTATGAGCCTATTCAGGTAAAGCACAAAAATGGAAAATACTTGTGCTCTTGGAAGTTAGAATGGTACATACTCTTACAGGAATAGCACCTGGAAAGGGGCTTTTGGGCTACTGATAACATTCTGTGTCTTGATCTGGGTGTTGATTTTGTGTGCGTTCACCTTTACCAAGTTGAACAAAATTGTACTTTTCCTGAATTCTGTTATTCTTCAATTAAATTATTTTTTTAAAACAGGGTAAGAACAGATTTCTTCCAAAAATACGTTAATCTGCCTTTTATATCCATGAGAATGAGTTTGTCAAATAAGTTAACAATTCCCTTGGAGAACAGATACTGGAGATGTGACATGATGAATCTCAGTACAAGAAGTTTTGATATGGATAGGGAGATGGCAGAAAATCTAAAAGGGTTCTGAGCAGAGAGTAATGAGGCCAAGGTAGAGCTATTTTGGGTGCAGATGCATCTAGAAGGCAGTGTGTAGAGCTCTTAAAGGGGCTGCATCAGTGCAGATGCAAGCAGATAATGGAAGAGAGAAAGAGATGCTAGGATCTAAAATGGAAACCTGGAGGATAGGACCTAAAAATAAACTTTTATTTCACAATTTACTCAAAGCTAGGCCTACTAACACATGAATCTGATGTCATTCCAAATTTCATAGGATTTAATTTAGCTCTAATAATTTAGAACAGCACATGTCTCTCCTTGTTTTCTATTTTTTTTTTTACAGTATAGCATCCTTTGTTTTTCATTAACAACTTGCTAAGAGAAAGAGCAAGAATGGAGAAGATTAAATCCATATACAACATACATTCTGTAGAGATTCTGGACAGTGAAGCATTACTAACAGGGCAATGTAAGTTTAGTCCACATAAAGTCAATGCAGTTCAATATAGTTCCAATTCTAAATACAGAGACTTTTGTAATTAATGTTATTCAAGATATAATAAAATTTTGTTAAATAAAAACAATTTGGGGGCCAGCAGATGGCATGCAGGTTAAGATGACTGCATCCTACCTGGCAGACTGCATGGTTCAAGTCCTGGACCCAACAGCTTGAAAAAGATGCCAAGCGTATGTGTACACATGCCCAAAATCCTGAAAGGAGAATGGAAGAGAAGGGATTGCAGTGTGTGGCCACCCTCCCCGAGGGGGCTGCTTTCTCACTTTCCCTCTCTTTCTGTCTCTGACTCTGGTGAGCACATTTATCCTGCAGCAATTTTATTTTTTTAATCTATACTTATCCATTCTTTCATTTTTTTTTTCCCTTTTTTTGGAGAGGTTTTTTCGCTATAGGGCGCGTGCGCTTGCCAGACAGACAGAGAGAGACATAGAGACAGAAAGCAAGAAATCACCCCCCAGGGAGGATGGTCACGCCACAATCCCTTCTTCTCCATTCTCCTCTCGGGATCTTGGACACGCACGCACATGTGCCCGGCATGAGTTTTAAGCCACCGGGTCCGGGACGTGAACCGTGGTCAACTACGTGGGAGTCCAGCAACATAGCCATTATGCTAACTGCTGGTTCCTTCCATTCTTTCATTTAAAAGTACTTGATGAATCTCTTTTATATGCCACAATGAAGTACTTTTCTTCAAAACTATGCAAGTGTAAAGTGTAAGAATCAATCCCAGACAAAAATATCTCAAAACATTTGAAATTATAACTAAACTGTAAATTATAAAATTTTAAGTAAAAAGAATGGCATGTAACAAAAATAGAAAATGTTCTTCAGGGATTCCTCTGATGGGTTCATAAGTATGACAGAGGATTGAGAAATAAATGAAATAATATAAAAAGTCCTGGGCTTTAAATTCGATTGAATATGTTTCTAATTCCATTTTAAAATGTTTACTTCTCCCTACATGTTTAAAAGTAAGACCATGCAAGTATTGAGCCCCTGAAATGAAACTCCAGCACTGTTTATTTTTTGTCTATTTCTACAGGGAGAATAGGCAGTACAAGAGTCATTCGTTTACATCTCATTTTCTGGGACCTGTTACTTTCTTGGACTTCAATAAAGACCACAGTTCCCATAGTAGTTTTCAATCAGCCAGTTCCTTTCTTTCCTTCTGTCAAGGATAGCAGAGATGGCTTCAAACCAAGATCTGCAAAGTCAAGTTAACTAGACGTATTCAACGTCTTCCTTCTCTGAGTGATTTGTTCTTCTTGGCACCAAAGACTTGACTTTTGTCTTTCAACAAAAATGTTGCTTCATCTTCATAGGTTTTCGATACTGTGATTCCTTTCCTTCTCCTTCCTACAGTTAACTTTCCACTTTAAAACAAAACAAAACAAAACCTAGTTTTTTATAGTTCGAAATAAAAACATATATCCTTAAATCAACAGCCTGTTTTGAAATGATTTAGTGAATCTTCTTTAATAGATGTTTGTTTGAGGGCTTCATATTTCTTAGGAGGAGACTGACTCCTGTTCCCTGTGCTGGGCTAATGTGCCCCTGAGTCTTAGAAGAATACTTTCGAGAGGTCTCTCTTTCTCACTCCATTGGAAGTTCTATGTAAATATCTGCAGTTGCAATTACTAGAGCTCTGGGACAAAATACTGAAATATAAAACTATGCTTTTAAATTTGTGTATTTTTTTGGCAAAGCAGTGTTTTTTTCATGGGCCATTGAGGCACTCTCCTTTTGAAGATAGTCATAATCCTTCCCCCTGTGTATCTCTCCCATCGAAAATCACAGAGGGCTTATACATATGAATAATTGCAGTGTTAACCAAGCACTGCAATTCTCTTTCATGACATTTTGCTTCATGCATTATATCAATGCTAGAGGAGGACAATGTTATTTAAACCTAGATTCATGAAGAAACCTTGGTTTGTTATGTCTACAGCCAGGGCCTTGAGAAGATTACAAAACCTTCATGATTTCTTCATCAAGAAAATTAAAATAATTCTTTAGTATGTCATTTGTGTGGTGTTTCTTTGTTTGCCCTTTTTATAAAGTTTATTAATTTATCTCTTCCATGAGTGAGAGCAGAGAAAGGAGGAGCAAGAAGGGGAAACAGCAGCCCTAAGAGGACCTCCTTGTTGTAATTCAGTCCCAGCTTCAGCCAGCTTTGGATCATAGGCACATGTACACTCCTGGCACACTCAGAGAAGTCTCCAGATGAGAACCTAGAACCTTCTCATGTGAGTCAGCCTTGTAGAAGAGTACATTTTTCTGCTACACCACCATGCTGCCCCAGGCAATATGTTAAATGAGTAGAGATTATTTTTAAAAGTGATTGGAGGGGCCAGCAGATGGCATAGTGGTTATGACACTGGACTCCCACATGGCCGACTGCAGTTCAAATCCTGGACCCAGAGGGTTGAAAATCACACCAGGTACATGTGCATACATGCCCAAGATCCTAGAAGAATGGAGAAGAGTTTACAGCATGGCCATCCCCCTGGGGATTGATTTCTCACTTTCCCTCTGACTCTTTCTTTCTCTCTCCTGCAAACGCATACACCCTAAGGTAAAAACCTCTTAAAAAAAATAAAGTTTTTGGAAATTAATAATAATTTCCTTGAATTTTATGTTTCCCTGATGTTTAATCATAAGAAAATTGTTTGTTTGTTTTTAAAAATAATTACAGAGCTATTAAGAACCTTAAACTTGCCCTGATTTACAGATGGACAAAATGCCTTTTGAGAAAATCTGCCCTTTTCAGTGTCACCAGGAACTCAATCAGACACTCAGTGATCACTCATCTTCAAAAGATTTATTTCTCACATGCTCTAGAATGAAGGATATTGCAAAATTTTGAAAATGGCACGAACCAAACACAGAAATTGCTAACTGTGCCCATGATCAGGATGGAACAGAGATAATAACAATAAATCATAATGATTAATGTTATGGAAGAGAATGAAAACAACTAATACATATATCAATGATTATACTTATCATTTCTCTGAATTTAGTATTCTAGAAGAAAAAAAATCCCTAATCTTCAGTTATTTTATTTAAGATGTGAGTTCGAGAATGATACCTGCCTCATGAATTAAATAACATCATAGAAATTAAATAAGATAATGCCCATAAATGATACACAATGCCTGGTATGGGGTGGATACCCAGCAAATTCTAGCTATTTTTGTATTGTCATTATTACCAGCTCACTTACAGCATGTTTTTGTTATTTGCAGTATTTCAGTTCTGAAAAGTCTCTCTGAACTCAGAATCAGTGAATACCAAAACATTGCCTCTGAGAGAAATAAAGATGTAGGCTCCTACAAGCCTCTGGTTACAATATGTTCATAAACCAAGTAATACACAACCTTGTGCTATATAAGTTCCTGTTTAAAGATACTTCATTTAATATATCATTAATTCAGTAACAATGAACTCACAGTCAACAGCACTATAACTCATATGACACTATTCCTCCATAAAGTACATCACAGCATTTTTTACTCTTAGGAATATTAGACAGCATTTCAGCTTGAGGACTATTTTAGATGGCAAATCACTAAAAAAATCCACAAAAAATACAAAAATCATCACACTGAATAAATGCTGAAAAGGATAGTTTCTTACAGTGTGAAAGCTAAAAAAAGAAGGCAGAACACCACCTTGCTCTACCTCCACGGGGAAGTTGCACTTTGGGCCACTCAAAATTTTCACTTAGAGCAACATGGTGCATGTTGCCAATGACTTGAAAACACCCTGAGTATTGCTTTAGAGTACAAGTAATATTATACAGTGCACGAATGAACAAATACAGAACCTGCAAAGAATGAGCATCAACTGCACTTCCCTTTTGAAAAACTAAAATGAATTCGATTTGCCCAAATAATAGATTTCAAGAGGAGAGCAGCAAGAAAAGTAGTCAGATTTATCCTCATGCCAGGAATAGGACATAAGAGTGCCATTTACGCCATAAGAAGTGAGTCCATGTGCCCAGCAGGTGGCATAGTGGTTGCAATGCTCAACTCCCATATGGCCCATTGCAGTTCTAATCTCCGACTTGGTGACTTGAGAGTCACACTGGGTGCATGTGCATGTGTGCCTGAAATCTCAGGAGGAGAATAGAGGAGAAGGGATTGTGGCATGGCCATCCTCCCCAGGGGTGACTTCTCACTTTCCTTCTCATTGCCTCTCTCTGTTTCTCTCCAGAGAACACACATGCTCTATGCCAAAAACCTGAATATTTTTTTTACAGTGAGTCCATTTTCTAATAATGATGGCATACTATCACCAAAGGGTTTTCAATGGAGTACTTTCACATGGACTAGAAGCCATCCCTAAAATGTTCCCTTGTACACTCAGTACACTCAATATTTATTGAATGGTTGAATGTAATGTAAAGACTAGTTCTGTCAGGGCTGGAGGCAGAGACTATTGCTGTTAAACATTGTACTAGAAATTCTGGCCAGGGAAATTAGGCAAGAAAATAAAATTAAAGCCATTCAGATAGAAGTAGTGAATCCGTTTCTACTTGAACATAACATTATCCTGTGTATTAAAAACCCTAAAGAATCTGTTGAATATTATTATAATAAATTTCAGCAAGGTTGTAGAACATAAAATTAATATTTTAAAAAGCCAACTTTATTTTTATACTAAAACAAACTAAAAATGAAATTAAGAAAATAGTTCTATTCATAATTCCAAAAACAAATTAGGAATAAATTTAACAAAAAATAGAAAAATTAAAAAATCATACTCACAAAACTACAACATTGCTGAAAGAAATTAGAGACCTAAATAGGTAGATAGATATTCAAATTCATGGATCAAAAGACTTAACATTGTTAAGATAGTAATAATCCTCAAATTGACCTGTCTAGTCAACATAATGCCTTATGAAAATTGCAGCCTTTTATTCTTAGCAGAAATTGACAAGCCAATGTTAAAATTCAAATAGATATGCAACTGATCCAGAATAGCCAAAACAATTTTTTTTTGGAAAAAAAAGTTGGAGAACTCTTACTTCCTGATTTGAAAAATTATTACAAAGCTACAGTAATCAAGATACTGTGTGTCACTGGCTTAAGGATAGACATAAAGAATAATGAAATAGAACTGAGAGTATAAAGCTTCATTCAACAATTAGTTGAATTTCAAGAAGGTGGTCAATACATTTCACTGGGTTAAGGAATTGTCTTTTCTACAAATGGTACTGGAACAACAACTAGATGTTCATGCAAAAATTGTAACCCTAACTGACATCACATGCAAAAGTTAACTCAAAATAGATGAAAGATAATGTAAGAGCAGGTCAGCTGGTGATGTGGTGAAGGCAGCTAGATCCCACATGGCCACCTGTGGAATTGGAGTCCTGGACCCAGCAATTTGAAAAACACACCAAGCACATATGTGTGTGTGGCCAAACTCCCTAAAGGAGAATGGAGGAGAGGGAATTGTAGTGTGACCATCTCCTATGGGGGTGCTTTCTCATTTTATCTTTCTCTGCCTCTCTCCAGTATATGCATGCACCCTTTGGCACATTTAAATAAGTAAACAACTGTAAAAGCTAAAACTATATAACTCTTAGAAGTAAACTATATATTTTTGTGAAAATAGACTTATCAATGGTTTCTTATATATGACATGAAATAGCAACAACAACAAAAGATAAACTGACATCATCAGAATTAAAAATGTTCACGCTTCAAAATATACTATTGAGAAAGTAAAAAGTACACAAAGAATGGAAGAAGATTTTTGCAAATCATATATCTGATGAAGGACTTGTATCTAGAATACATGAATAACTATTTTAGAGGCATAGCCAAAGGTAAAATTAGAGAGGTAGATTTCCATGTTGAGGAAGCTACTCAGATGGCAGAAAAAGTATGCATGGGGTTTCTATCCCTTTTTTGACTATGATCTGGACTCTGAATATATAGAGTAAGGTCCATGAGGCCTAGTAGAGAATGGCTTTTTTGAAGCAAAAAAAACACTGGGTTGTCAGAAAAGCCATGACACATTTTTTGCATAGAAAAATATATCATAACTTTTTGGATAACCCAATAAATGATTTCAGAATTTGCTCTGTGTTGAGAGGATAAGAAAGGGAGGACAAGATGATGGAAAAAAATCAGTGAAGAATAAAAGATACAACTGCATGTATTGTATAGCAACCATGACTACACCCATGGCAAGCTTTAATTTTCCAATTGATCAAACAAGACCAAACCTGCCTTAAATAAATTTTGAAAATTGTTGATAATGTCAAGCCATAAAAATATAAGAAAATTCAAAGTAGAAGATATCAAATACTAAGATTCCCACTTGGGACACTTAACCATGGAGGAAACCACTGTATTAGAAGAA